GGGCGTGGCCCGCGTGGTGGGCGTGGCTGTGCTTGATGGGCGTGGCCGCACCAGATGGGTGTGGCTGCACGTGGTGGGAGTGCAGGTTCTGTCTGTGCAGAGTTCTCAGCCTCATTCCTCTCTCGGTTTTGTTTTCCTTCTTTGTGTTTTTATCTTCGTCTCATTCAACTTTTGATTCAGTTTTGTGTACACGTGTTCTGTGTATCCTTGCTGCCCACCTGAAATCCTTCCTGACATGGCAGAGCACAGCCCTGTCGGCCAGTGACACAGCCACAGCCTGCGTGCTGCGACGTGCCCCGTAAATTCCATCTTCACCTTCGGTGCTGTGTTTATCTGGATGCCTCATGGTCACAAGCCTGGTCCTGTTCTTTGAGCACCGCAGCTGCCTCAGTGGAAAACAGGATCTCTAAAGCGCTGCTATTTTGTGGTTTAACCACAAAACACATGATCAGAATGATTCAGCTAGTCTCAGAGGGCTCGCGCTTGAGTCTTCTGTGTCGCTCCCCAGCCCTTCGCGGTCCGTCACACAGAAGCGAGGCTGCGCGGCCCCTCGGAGTCACAGAGGCCCCGCCCACCTTGTCCTGCACGGGAACAGACGTCGCGCCTCGCCGGGTGGCCCTTGCGAACTTGGTCTGCCGCAGGCGTGGGCTGTGCACAAAGCTGATCCCGCTCCTTGTGGTGTCACTTGGACGCCACAATCACCTGGGTACACCTGCCTACCCAGCACCCTCGTGCCCCGCCATGCTCCACCCCCCGCCGGTTCGAAGGCAGTTCTTCCCTTCAGGCTGAGCAGCCCTAGCTGTTCTTTGTGTGAGGTGGTCTAGACCTTGGGCATCCCAGCCACCCTCATCAGACGTCCACTGGACTGTTCCTAACCCTCCCCTCCTAGCCAGCTCCAGATGTCACCTACTCAGCTCTCAGTAGAGGGACTTGTGACGTCCTGCGAGCCAGACGCTCAGTTCGCATTTATGCCTCTTAAAGTCTAAAACCTCTCAATTATTTTACCAAAGTGCGGCCAGGCCCAGCCTCCCTCACTGCAGCCTTCTGTGGGTGCTTTACTGAAGATCCGAAGTTCACATTTCCTCTGTCGCTCAGCATGTGAGCTTTACCTCCACACCCCCGGCCAGAGAGGCTGGGGCCAGTCAGGTGTTTCCTCCCAGTCCAGCCCGGCGCGTGTGCTGCCTGAGGTGGGCGTGCCTGCCACGGCCTGGGCCTCCTTCAGGATTCGTTGCTGGCGAACAGGACAGAGCCTCAGGCGACTAACTTGGTTACACAGTCACAGAAAGAAGTTCTCACTCAACCCTGTTACCTCATTCAGAATAGAGAAGATTGTGTCGGGCGTTCTCTCTGGCAGAGAACGCCCAGCAAACATGGGCTGTTTGAAGCACGGTGTTAAGATCCTTGTTTAATGCTTAGAGCGTCTCTGAAGGCAGCTTTTTTCTGAAGGGCAAATCTGTGGAGTTTGGGTTCAT